TGCGCCAGACTTGAGCGAAGTTCATGGCTTTTGGCCAAAGGAGGAGGAAAGTGAAAAACTGTCCAAATTGCCAATTAAATTACAAGGAAGGGCCTGAAAACAATGTGAGAAATGGCAATGCGGACCCAATAAAAGTCCAAACGAGAACGGGTTCAAGGGAGCCAGTTAAAATTGCATTTTCCAGGGGGTGGTGACAACAGCTGAGCTGCGAAAATCACAAGCAAAACAGAGGAAAAAAGCGCATTTCAGGATGGCAGAGGCGCAATGAGGAAAATGGGGAAAATCACATGAGTTGGCGAAAAAGAAAAAGTAGCCGCAGAGGCGCCGGCACTTGGCGCCGGATTTCCTCGATGATGACACACAAAAAAGCGCAAACAAAAACTTGTAAAAACTTTCTTTTCAGTTTGTTTCTCTTTTGGGTGATTTTGTGCTGGTCGGCCGCACAAAACTTGCCATTCTTGGCCGCAAATTCAATTTACGTTTATTTGCGAAAATATTGCCGCTGTCCTTGGTGTCCTGCCCCCGTCTCCTCGCCCCTTTTCCCACCCCCCGAAAGTATTTCTTCACGCTCTGTTTTCTATTGGCCAGCACACATACACAGACGCACGCACAGTTGGCATTTTTAATTTGCACTGCCGTTCGAAATTGCTTTTGAAATGGCATTTTAAAAATTTAATTGCCAGTCCTATCTCCCCATCTCGCTCCTTCAAGGAAATGCCTTGCAGCAGCGTCTGAGTGTCCATTAGAGAAACTGCTTCGCCAAATTGCCAGTCACCGGCAAACATAGAGAAAAAGGAAAAAAGTCTACTCTAAAAGAAATCTTTCTTTGACTATTTTACTTACTTGAAAAAAGTTTTTAAGTCCCAAAAGATTTAACAAGTATTTTATTAATAACAAATTATTTAGCTTTTCAATCCAACAATCGTTCAATAAAATTTACAAGTACAGCAACATACAAACTCCATTTACATATGTACTTTTAATCAAGTGTTTTGTTTTTGTGAGATACATATAGTTAATGGCAGTCAATTTTGTTTCAGCTAGGTATTATAATAATATATATATACAGTATACATTTTAATAGTCCATAGCCCTTTTTAGAAATTTATATTTATTTTGTAACCATTTTTTTTCGAGTGCAGAAGGCAGTGGGCCGTGAGGCGTTCTCGTTTTCGTTTCTGTGTCATGTTTGTCAAATTGAGTGAAGTGAAGTCCTTTCGCCTACTCCACCACCATCCTGGTGCTCCTCTTGTTAATGTCCTGTCCGCTTCTTGTCGCTCCTGTCCGGTTCTGTTTACGCAGTTGTTGGTTTCCTTGAGGCCTCTGGCAAAAAGCTGAGGAGCCGAGGCGATGTAAATGGGAAGGGAATTCACTGAAGGCAAAGAGGATGGGAAAATGCAAGCCATGCCTATGACATTTCCGAGGGGTTCTCAATAATAACGGCGGTAACTGGTTAGGAAATTCCACTTAAGCTCAATTGAATTTTAGATTGAATAAAGTCATTTAACTATCCATGCAAGGACTTATGGTTGAACCTATTTAAAATATAACGTAAATATTAAGTTCACATTTATTGTTTCGAAATTCTTTTCTAATACAATTTTTCTAATTGAAATGCTAATAAAATGTTTGATACTTTAACAAAGTTATTAGAAAAAAAATAATATTAATACAAATTTGCAAAATATATGTACATGCAGATAGTCCCTCGTGCACGGAACTTTTAGAGAGCTGCGCCGGAATTTTTTAGCAACTTTTTTAAGCTGCTTGTCAGCTTCCAAAGCGCACGAAGGACGCAGTCCGGTAAGGAAAGGATTTTCCTTTCTGAAGTGTTTTTCAGTAAAAGAGAACTAAAGAAAATCACAGCTAATGACTGCGGACTTTCTGCTGACGCATTTCTACCGAATTTGCAATGCGTTGAGTAAACCCCTCGACGTCCAGGGCAGCCACATTAATAATAAAATGGCAATTACGCACCAAATTGATTGATATGCAAATCTATCCAATTACTGCGATGGCATATTTTTTAATGTGTTTATCAAAATTGGTCCCGCTCATGAAAAAGCTGTCCAATCTTCTGATGGACGATAAATGTATGCAAGAGGTGTGCCCAATGAATTTTATATCAAAGCAGTTCGTTTTAATATTAATGAATTTTAAAAACTCTATGTCCGGCGAAATGCTGCTAATTGTTTCACAGAATAAACATTTTGAATAAATGAAATTTAATTTCCTTTTAATCTATTAGTAGATGTTAAATCTATTTAATTGTAATTAATTGTATATGGTTTCTCGCTTTAATTTACATACATAATAAAAGCCTGGATTATACAATTTAATTAATTATTTTATTATTTGGATTAGGAAATAAACCCCAAAGGCCATCTAAACACTGGTAACTTTTATTAATTGAAACTACCATATGGTGTTTGGGATTTAAAAGTAATTAGATTTAATTCCCAGCTACAGACTCCCCATGAAACTCACTTTAATGTGGCACAAACATAAGTTGGACAAAAGCTCCCCTGGCGAGGCTTACACAATAAACCTTTTTAAATACGCGAAGCAAAATACCGAGAAGGATTCCAACGCAATCTTAATTGTCATAATCACGAGGGGAGACACTTGAACGTCCTTTGCGGCGTCAAAAATTAAAACGTGACACAAATTACTCGGCCAGCCTGAGTCCCCGGCGGGGATCCTTTGGCTACGCTCCCCGCTCAAATGTCATTAACCAGGACATGGGCGGGTGTGGGTAGGGGCGTGGCAGTAGGGGGTGTGTTGGGCTCTGTTTTGTCAGCCGCACTGCGCCTGTCCCGAGGGGGCAAGCCTCTGTCCTAGGATCTGTCCCAATGTCCCCTCTCAGCTTGTGTCCGTGTCACTGACGATGGATGTAATTCCTCATGTGAGTACACCCAGAAAATAGTGTTTAGACTTTAATTTGTTAAGCAAAGAATAGATTTTTTCATTCTCTTTATTACTATTTTTAAAACCAACGTAAAAAATTTATATTTGTATCAGTCCTAACTTTAAATTTATTCTTTATTAAGTTTAAGCTCCCAAAAATAATATTAAGGATAGTTTTAATAGAATGCTCTACCTAGGAACTCAATGGTTTTAAATATTTTTCGGCAAAAATTGTAATTGGAGTAACTGTAATTGTTGCAATATTTTTGTGGTTAAAAAAGATTTTTACATCAAAGCAATTTGAAGATCCTCATTAGAAAACTTAAAGAAACAATTCAAGAATTCTTTTTATTATGCATTTTTCGAGAGGCTAAGGATACAATCAACAATTTTAGAAAAACCGAAATGTATTTAATAATTTTTCCCAGCGTACGGCTAGTACAAATCTCCACCCACTCCCTGTAACACCCCTCCTATTTGCCGCACCTCAGGGAGCCTTTGTTAATCATTCTGCCTCAGCTCGCAGATTTCGCACGCACGCACATGGGAGTGGTGAAGGGAGGGCTCTAGGATGGGGCACTGGGCCATCATTTGCATATGTGTCTACTAGGAGATGTTTGCAAGGAGGTACACATGTATCCACCTGCCCGGGGCCAGATCAGCTGCTTTCTTTTATGATGATTGCTGGGATGGAAATTTGATTTAGGGCTCTGGGCCCATAAAGAGGTTCTCTCCCAAAAGGCAACAACATTTTAAGCGACAGATTCTCGCTTTGGGTCATCAAACTGACGAGTGGCCAGGAGTTGACTTTGTTTAATAATACAAAGGTATCTAGGGATCATCAGGGATTTATATAACGACAAATATCTATTCCAGTGGGTCATCAAATCAACAAAAGTTTCTTGTGCTCTGTCTAAAAACTGAAAAACTAATTCGTTAAATTCATCTAAAAGCATCTTAGACATATTGTTGACATACATATCTGTACATAAAATAAACACTCTAAAAAAGTCAGCAATGCATAAAGAAAATCAATAACTAGCAACTTTAGGAATTCCTTAACTAATATTTTTCCTTTAAATTATAACATTAAATATGTTATTTATGTTATTTTAGTTTGCACTTAAATATACTTTAAATTGATGGGCCATAAAATCAAGTGAGGAAACTTGCGTTCTCGAACTTTGAAGCTCTCGACATGCCACCATATGTTTTCCCATTGTGAGGAAGTTTCACACATGCTTAGCCATTTTCCCTATTCCCTTTGAGGCCCCGCCGTCTTCTAAACTCCTCCAATTTTCCCACTGCCTTGGAACCCCTTTTCGCTCCGTTTCGTTTGCTTTTTTCACAAGCCATTAGCAGCTGCTCACGGCGACGATGAGGGAAAATCCAGCACCCGCTAATAGAAAACAGCAAGCGATTCGCGCATACATGCGAACTCATCCACAGAGAAAAATAAAATAAACATTAAATTTATATTTGTTCGTTTTTTATTTTCTCCGGTTCTAACAAAGTTGAATGGTTTCCATAATGGACGTCCGACCGTTAAAAAAAACTAATGCTTGACACAAAAACAACAGAAATATTTGTTATAAAAAGAAAAACTAAACAAAAAAAACTAAACAAACAAAGCACAATTGTTACTCTTAAATTCAATATTTTTAAAAGCAAAATCAAATTAGCTCCTAAATGTTTTAAAAACAAGTATGATTAAAAGAAGTAAAGTACAATCCCACATATCTTTTTTTATTGATAAGGTTTATTTTCGACTACATTTCATAATGGGAAATACAGGTTAGCTTTCGACATTAAAATCTATTTTGGCAATGATTTTTTAGAATAAGTGTGATTAAAAGAAGTGAAGTGCAATAACATCTGTAGCAAGAACCATTTCTTAATTCTTTTTTGTAGAAAAAGTTAAGTACTGACTACATTTCATAATGGGAAATTCATGTAAGCTTTCGACAATAAAATCAATTTTGGTAATGATCTCTTATAGTTTGGCGGGGAAAGTTACTAATTATTATTCGACCTAAAGCGGAAATGTTTTTTCGCCGTGTGCGGTGATATTGGAAAGGGGTGGTAGCACTCACCTGGAGCGTGGAACTCCTTCTCGCCATTTGGCTGGATACCGGAAATCTCTGTTGGCTGCTCATCAAAATCGAGGATACAGCCACTTTCGGTTTTTAGTGCCGGCTTAAATTTGTATTTCTATGGATTTTCCAGACTGTCTGGCTGGGCTTTTCTTTTTATTTTTAACAGAGCAAGTGTTTTTAAAATGAAAATGCCCTTATGTCTGTGTGTACATGTGTTGTATTTGTTGTTGTTGTTTTTAATGGTTGCCAAAGCAACAACAAAAAACTTGGCCAACAGGGGCGGCTAAAATCAAAAACAACAAAAACAGCAGGTGTGAGGAGACACACATACACACACATATGGAAAAAGGACTCGCCAAGTGTAAATAGAGTAATAAAAAAATGTAGGGAAATGAAACAGGAAAAGCAGGCGGAAGAAAAATCGAAGGAAACTTGTCCCGCGAGAGAGATAGAGAGCGAAATAGAGAGTGTATCAAAGAGAGAGAGAGAGAGAAAGACGGCAAACTTTCGCCTTTTTGTTTATTTCACACACGCACCAAACACCAACACTGACGCTTTTCCAGGATGCGGCTTTTTAAATTGACCGACCCGATTATTTTGCATTTCTCTTTGCCACTTATTTATTCCTCTCCTTATTTATTTCGGTTTTTATCTCCAGCGTCTTTTTGCTATATTTAAACACGCACTTCGAGCAACTAACTGTAAATTTACCGCACACCCGCACAAGAAGTCTGCAAATTAGAGTGCTTCGAAATACAATAAAATAACCATAAATTTATTAGCTATAAACAAATAAGTTTATTTTGGAATACGTTTTGCTTGGTCTTCAAGCTAATGTCTATGTTTTTGTTGATACTCCTAATTATATTACAGAAAAACGAACCAGTCTTCGCGGAGGAAAATCGAGCAATAACAACGAACTTGCCTTGCAAAGCCGTTAAATACATTTTTCGACTAACATAGACATAACATATGAACAGCAGAAGTATGCACAGCCGCTGTGCTGTTACTGTTACTTGGGTGGGTGGCAGCAATGTTAATGTCGCCATCCTGCTTGCGCGGGACAGCTGATGTAACAGAGTTCTGTCTAGAAACATTATGTTAGCATGGGTACTGTGGGACACTCTCTATTTTAATGGTGTAAAATTGAAAAGTTGCAAGAGGCCAAATACATAAATTATAACTATTAAGAAAATATTATTACTATTAAGAAAATAACTAATCCATACCCATTGCGTTTTCTTGGTCTTAATAACAGAATTAATTAAATCTTTTTCAACAGCATTTATAAAATTGAATTAGTTTTAGTCGGACTGTATTTTAATACATTATTAGCTAACTTAACTCTTGTCTATTCAATGTAATTAATAATAGAAAGAATTGTTATTATTCTATTCAATTTTCCAGAGTTAACAAGTTTGAAAAATAATGTATTTTCAAAACGAGTTTGTTTTTTTTACCAATGGAAATACAATATACCACAATATATGTATATGTGGTTAATGAATTACCCATTTTTTGTACATCCAAGAAATTAAAAAATTACTTAATTAATAAACGAATTAATTTATTTAGTCAAACATTGAACACTTTGCACTTTGTAAAAAAAGCTTACAATTAACTTAAGGCTGCAACAGATTCATCGAGGGACCATAAAGCTGTCGATCTCAAAGTAGTATATAAAATCATCAGTAACTTAAGGCCCAAGGCCGATGTCGCAATTCCATCGACACAAATCGTTCATTGGGCTTAGAATGCAGTTCTTTGGAGTGGCCGATATGGCAGTTTGATAAAGAGTACAAGTTTAACTAGCTCCCCTCCTACGGATCAATAAAGGAAATCATGATGTAGCGGGTGCCATTTGTCACGAGTAGTCCCTCGTGGAAGTGGGTCAGTCGACCCGGGTGCATCAGCATCCAACCCTTCTTCGTATCGGTCACGGAGCAGTTGTATCTGATGAATCGACAGCCACCGCCCTCATAGTCGATGCCTGCCCGGTTCATCGCGATGTTAATGGTGTACGTGGAAGCGTCGTGGTGGGGTCGCAGTGAAGGCTGCTCATCCGGCCGATAGCGCACCATGAAGTTCATCAGGGAGCGAGGAGGCTGTAGAAAATAAGAATAATGGGTCCGATTAAATTATGTTTTCTTTTTAAATAGTTTCTTAAAATGCTCAAAAAATTAAGAATTTAATATATTCAGGAAAAGACGTTCCTCAATAATAATAATATAATATAAATTAAATTACAATTTTGCAGTTACAAATTAATAAAAGTGCCTTAAACACAGGCAAGGCAAAAATATTAAATAGAGATAAGTTTTATTAAACTTTGTCTTAAAGAAAATAAGAATTAGGGTTGCACTTAAGGAAGTTATATTAAACTTATATTTACTGAGCGATAAAATGTACAAAACTAATTTGTAACTTACATTGTGATAGTAACCAGTGAAGACGCGCTCCTGCAGTGGGCGCACGTACAACTGGAGGAACTTGAGATAGAGCTGCTCCAGGCCCACCTGCTTCATGTGGATGTCCCGCGTGGGCACCGCCTCGTATCCGCCCTCCAGCCGGCTGTCGCTGTTGCTGCCGTCGGACCAGCTGTTGTGCGCCTCCATGATGGCCACCAAATCGTCGCAGAACGCGTCCGTCACGATCTGGAACCAAAAGACATCCGGACACGGCTGCGGTATCTGGTAGCTAGCATTCAGCTGAAGCGAAAAGTTTGGGTGTATGTACTTCTCCGCCCAATCGTTGCGGTTGGTAAACAGCGTATGGAAGTCCGGACGTGTCACCGTACTATTGAAGTAATCAGCGTTGACCAAGTGACCGAAAGAGCGCAGATTGCTGATGTACATGAAGACGCCCTGGGGAGAAGAGTAGACACATTAATAGTTAGTAAAAAAAGGCGTCCTGGCGCTTTTGTTTTTTAACAAACAATGGTTGCAATACCATTGAAATTTAACTAAACTAAGGGTTTGAAATATTAGTAAATAGTCAAAGTTCACCAATCGTGCTATAATTTGGCAGAGGATACTATTATAGTTCATTAACCAAAGATTTTAACATACTAAAATCATACAACATTTTGAGGTATGCACAGTAATTTTAATAATTATTTGCCAATTATTTTCGAAATTGGAAAAATCTACTTCGCATTGTGCAATTTATAAACTTATTTTTTCTACAAAATATGGGAGCTTTGATTCTCTAACTTACCGCATTTCGAAGTGACTGGCACAGAGCCATGTCGGGATCGAATTCGCTATCCTTGAATGTGATGGCATCGAAGGCCGTTTTCTTCACCAAATAAATGCTCGTGATATGGGGCACGTTGAAGATTCCACTGCAAATAGGGAAAATAAAAGTGATGAATGAGTCAGCCAAAACAGGGGGACCGATAAAGCAGAGACCAGAATGATCGCAATATCCAACGACGAAATTGCAACAGTGTTGCGAAAATGGAAAGTGACGTCGCACCGACACAGAAACCCCAACTAAATCCACTTAATTCAATCAAATCGCTCAGATTAGAACAGAGTGGATAGCGTTTTGTTCAGATGTCGAGAACGCAGTTTGAAAACAACATTCACCGTAGGCGATCGGAATCTCGGCTCGACAATAATGCCTCGTGGCATCTGGAAGCTCGATCGGATCGTACTCCTCTGCCTCTGCTTCTTGATATTTGGGGATCTCATCTATATAGAAGCCCAAAGTGAGTGATCCAAACGCACTAAAACAATAGCTTAAAATCAAATATCATCACAGGAAGTACGGCGGGAAAGACGGAGCGTCGAAATTACACAGGCAAGAAACCCGTGGTCATCCAACATCGATCACAGGATGCCGTAAACTACTATGATCATGAGAACGTGAGCGAACCAAGGATGAACTAAAGACTTTTTATTTATATTTTATGTTTTCCAGGGAGCAAAGATCATAAAGTCATCACATTTCGAGTTGGATTATACCCTGGGACGCAAGATTACTTTCTTCTGCATGGCTCAAGGTTGGAATAAAATATTTATTTAAAAAACAAAACGTACTAAGTTTTGAAATTTGTTTTTTAGGCAACCCAAGACCCACCATCACCTGGTTCAAGGATGGAGCGGAACTCTACCAGCACCGATTTTTTCAGGTATATACAAAGATGTAGCTTTAAATTGAATTGATGATATGATCTTTGTATATCTAGGTACATGAATCTCATATAGAGACAAACATCGTAAAATCTAAAATGGAAATTGATCCAACTACGCAAATGGATGCTGGTATGAATTTGTAAATTTAATACTTTCTTCAAAGGACTCTTTCAATAAAATTATTTTTATTAATTTTTATGAATATATTTTACTTTTTCAGGGTTTTACGAATGTCAAGCTGACAATATCTACGCCATCGATCGTCGAGGTTTTCGCACGGACTATGTTATGGTTAACTTTTGAGCCAAGTTTGCAATTACCCATTTAAAACACTTTGAACTTTTTGACCCTGTAAAACTGAAATGTAACTATTAAATACTTTAAACCCTATATTTAAATAAAAAATATTTAAAAATACATTTTTGCGTCTCGAAATATGGAAATTGTACATCTATTTGAGTCTGACCTTTCCAAGTGAATGTGTGTATCTGTGAGTGCCAAGGTAGGTGTGTGTGCGCATAAAGCCGACAAATTGACTCAATTACCCAATTTAAATGATTTTTTTGCATTTATTTTATTAAAATGTGTGAAAGCAAACCAGACAAACCGAGGCTTTTTGGTTCTAAAGTGTTGAGCACTCCCTAGCCTTCAATAGGGTACAGTGGGTCAAAACTTTAAAGAAATCGCTATAAATGAAATAAGGATCAATACTTAATTATCTTTAGATATTTAGTTCTAGTCTCTTAATTATTTGTAGCTTTGTAATTTACTTAAATAAATTTTATTTCAGCTATTCTTAAATATATATTATCATTCCCAAAGTTTAGTAAAGAAATCTGGTAAAAAAAACAACAAACTTTTTTGTTAAGAACATTAATAATCCGAACTGGTATATAAATAAACATTTAATTACCAGATTTAGTAATGGTCTTTAAAAAATGTACGGTTAAAAAGTTTAAAAAATTATTTAATAAGGTTTACCAAATAAAACAAAAAGATATGCAGACCTGTCGTCACTGTAAACTAGACCGAATCCCAGCAAGACATGTGGAAAGGGGTGCCATGAGCTACTATGGCGAGCGATATCAGCAAGCGTCCAAATCAAATCAAGCCAGGGAATTGAGTGAAATATGAAAATGCGGCTATGAGAAAGCCAACACAGAACAAAAAACCGCGAGCGGCAAATTTCGAGAGCAACCCAAACGGATTAAATCCGCCGGACAATTGTGGCAAATTAGATGAGATGAGCAGAGTGGTGCAGAGTCTAACCGAGTGGATCAGTCACCAAACGAGATTCGCACAGCAACGCCACCAGCAGCAGCAAAGCGTCCGCGATCTCCGCCAGCAATATATCCATTTTCCGGAGAGTCATGCAGGTCAAGTGCCTGATCATCTGCCTCGCTTTGGGGCTGCTCATGCTGGCCACGCCCATTTGCGAAGCGCGCCGAGGGCGTGGCCGTGGACGAACCAAGTCCAGGGTGCAGATCGGTCTGCCAATTACGGGAAAATATCGCGATCCGGAGTCTGATCAGTACTATAACAACAATAATGTGAGTAGTGGGCGGAAAATGTGAGATTACACGTTTTTTCCTTTCGAGAGCATGTAATGTAGGTCAAGTTCCTCGAGATCATAATCCTTTGTATATGGGTTAAACTGAATTAAATACAAAATCAACAAAGTTCTTTCTTTTTTCGCCCTCCTTAGGGAGCCAAAATCCTGCAAGCCTCACACTTTGACCTCGAGTACGTTCTGGGCCACAAGATTGCCTTTCTGTGCGTGGCGAAGGGCAATCCCCGACCTCATATCACCTGGTACAAGGACGGAGCGGAGATCTATCAGCACCTCTACATGCATGTCCACGAATGGCGCATCGGCGACGACAAGGTCAAGTCGAAGATCGAGATTGACCCTGCTACCCAGATGGACGCCGGACTCTACGAGTGCACTGCCGACAACATGTACTCTATCGATCGGCGCAGTTTCAAGACAGATTTCTCCATTGCCTTCGACTGATTGTGTTTTCCAGTGTATGGTTCAAAAGATTAATTTCTCTTGGCAAAAGATTTTTATAAATCATTTTGTAGAATATGCAAACTACTTGCAAATAAAATGTTGGGCCAAACTAAGCATTTTTCTTGTAATTTTTGGTTTTTCAATTTTAAAAAAAAATGTACAGAAAATGTTATTGTCCTTAAAATTGAAGAAACAAAATTTCAAAAACACGTTTTTTTAGAATACAAATAAATTTTTTTTGTATAATACTGAACGTAAAGATTTGCTTGTTTTTCTTAATGAACTGATTATCTTTTTATAAATACAATAAAATATACAATGAATAATTATTTTATTAAATGTGGAACCATTTAAAAAAATAATGTCAAGAATACCTTTATAACCTTTTGAAATTTAAAAGTCTCTTAGAAAATATGTACCACCTTTCAACCTTTACAAATAGAAAAATAAAATGGATGTACCCAGGCTGCCTCATAGTTTTTTTACTTACATTATTTGGGACTTTACAATGTCCACGTAGTCGTGCGACCTGGCATAGTAACCTCCTTCGGAGAGGGCGCCCCAGAAGTTGCTCCATAACTCTTCGTGTTTGGTGAAAAGCGGCGCTACAAATTGTCTGCAAGTGGAACATTAATATTTGGGAAATCGGGTTACAGAAGCCTTGACCTACTTGTTTAGTTTGAGCAGCTCCCGGAGCACCTCGCTATCGTCAATGTGCGCATCTGCGTCCACGTAGAATATGTAATCACTGTTGTGGGTTCGAGCCTTGTCCCTGGAAAAGCCACATATATTAGAACCTTATTTATTTCTTAGACAATGTTCAATAAAACAATGGTTTAAATATTGTTCTTTGATAATTATAGAACTTGACACTTATGCAGCTCAATTTTTAGATAACACATTTTACTAAATTTAGTTTTTCTGTCTACGCCATTCATTAACTGTTATATCTTTAAAATATTTATATAGATAAATGCTTAGAAGGAATGAGCCATTAGTTTAGATTGAAGCCACAACACTTTTAAGACTTACAGGGCCAACTGCCTGCCTTGGCGCTCATCCAATTCATCCGTAGAAAGCGTGTATTTGGCAGAAGCGTACTTCTCGCCATACTTGTTCACAAATGCCCTGCTGTCATCGTCGTGGAATGGGACATTGCTGTAGATGAGCAAGTGCAGGTTCTCCTTGGGATAGTTTAGTTTTTCGATGCCTTCGAGAAACTGGTCGAAGAAGGGCACGGGTTGTGTGACAATCAGAGCCAGAGAAATCACAGGAAGATCTTGTTCCTAAGAAAATAAATTAAATATTACGCTTAGTATATAAGCCAATTAAAAACCACTCACATTCAAGTCCAAGAGATTTTCCTTGCAAAACAGACAAACGCCGTTGAAGGTCTTGGCCAAATAATTGCTGTACGCATTCAGATCCACTTTGCTCAGTCCGTTCCCATGAATAATGGCCGGCGTCGTCATAAAGTCCACATTCTGGAGAACAGCCTGATTGCTCTCCAGATCCACTTTAAGCTCAACATCGTTTTTGGCTCCATGAAGGTTTTGGAATAACCTGGACTGTGTGTCCAACTTCATGTCTAGCTTGGTGCGTTTGGCCTCGTCAAGGAATATCTTGGTGAAATACAGCTGATCGTCGGCAGTATCTTCGATAGGATCCTCCAGTACTTCGTAGACCTGTGGTGCAAAGCCAATAAAGGCTCCCGAGTTGAGGAATCGGGAGGCCTTGCCCTCAACTTCGGGATAATCATCAGCCAAGCTTTTATCGGGCCAGCAGAATTTCTCGGCCGAGAAGAGCAGCTTTGCTCCCGATTCCTTGAACTTTTCCGCAATCTCTTCCAGCGAAGCGGTAATGATAACGTCGTAGCTAAAAAATGTGATTTATTCATTAAAGATTTCTAAAGTTTTCTTTGAAAAAAAAACCCACCTGTCTGTGAAGAGTATTATTATTTCAGGATCATTTTTATAGGGCTCAATGGCTTCACGCAAAAGATTGAGCTTGAAACCGCCGCCGGGTTTTTGCATATCTCCTCCTTTCCATTCCTCACCGAGACCGAGAGTAGTACCCTTTTGGAGATTAAATATATTAAATATTAATGAAAATTCTAACCACTGATCTGAATTGTATCTCTTTATCTCGAGTGGCAAACTGGATTATCAAATACCTTAACAATAACATATCTTAGCAGGTTGTTATGAATTTTATTATGAAGCGGTTGTTTGGTATTAACTAGATCTATTAGTGGAAAGTTAAATCCACGAGTATCTTCTTTTGCATACCATTATTTTTGTTTTTTTTTCAGGATTTAATTACATTAAAGTATTAACGAATTAAATGGAATGGAAGTTATAAATAGAGTTGTAAATTAATGTTAGTATTGTATTAAGTTGTAGTACAAGTTAATTATCTTTTTTTTTTATTGTTAACGAATGAAAAGTATATTATACTAAAAATCCGTATATAACTCCAGACCCAACCCTTAATATGCCGGCGGGATCAAATAACTTTGGTCGCACAGTTCTCACAATACAAAATGGAAAAATAATCAAAACAAAGGGGAGAGATCAGCTTAAGCTCACCAAAAAGGCGGAAAATCGAGCTTATCAGCACATTTTGTTGTTCAGAATTTATTTTTGAATAGAAAAGATTCTTAGCCGGCCGGCATATGAAAAAAGTGTCACATATTCTGGACCTGATAAGCGAAATCTTCCACCGACTTGGTGTAGAATATTCTAAGCTATCAATAGACTGGGAAACAAAATAGAATGTATTGTGTTAATTACCCCGGCAACTGCACCGAATCAGTCTGGACTACGTGATTTCAACATCTGTGCACTATATGTTCACTATATGTTGCCGTTGCCCCACAATGTCCAGCCAATCTCGGTGTTCCACATCAGAAAATCGGACGCCAACGCCGGATGCTTGAATACCGGCATACATTTACTGATACATATGCCGACTATATACTAACCAGACATTTAAACAACACAATGTTGCTTTAGTGTGCCAAGCCGTCGAACAAGTCTCGGGAGTCTTTAAAATAACACAAAAACAAAAATCACGCATATACCCGATCAGTCTTATCTATCATACATTATATATTCTTGTTTATATACTAATTTTTATTAAGATTTGATTGCCTGGGAGACGTCAAATTAGAAATTCATCAATAAAAACAATCAAATCAAATTTGCATAGAAACGGTTGGACAGCAGTGTTCGGGAAACTATAAAAGTTTGCAAATTTTGGACGTGAAAAAATTCTAACTGTATTTGATGTGCTGATTTTACATTGATTTTCAAAGAAATCTAAAATGCTGACCTAATACATATGTTTTTATGAGTTAAAGACAACAACTATTATAATGATTTTATAATTGTTTGCCAGCAGATATGTTGTTTTCTAATTTTTTTTTCTTTAAACATTTTACTTCATTTGGACTTCATTTTTACATAATAATATTAAAATTGTTCTATTTTTTCAAATGTCTTAGTGAGCTCAAACTTTTTAAACTAGGTAACTATTTATAACATTTTCATATTCAACCGCTAACTAAGTATAACTTTTTTGACGGTTATTCGAAAGACGATAAAAAATATACCACATCCCCGATTTAAGATTTCCAGCGTAAAAGAGATCGTGCCTTGCTTTTAGATTGATCGTATTAATAAGAATTTAACACTTAATGTGGGTCTCACCTTAATGTCGTAGACATTCAAAGATCGATAATATCGTGCATAGCCATCAGTGGGTTCAGTGGCCACAGTGAAAACTTTGACTCTGTCTGTGAAGAAGGAAAAAGTAAAACAAAATGTTTAGATATGTGTCTGGGGTACAGATTAATAGATGGTAATTAAAATTGTATGGGTTATAGTCGTACATTTATAACAATTTTCGTATGTTAATTTATAACACAATTTGTGCAATCTTAAAATATGAACTATGAAATAAGATTTAGTCCACTTTAACTCTTATTTTACATTAATCTTTATAAGTCATATTTTTAATCTTTTGTTATATTTATTTGTTTAACTTATGTTAGATCTACTGTAACCTAATATGATTTATTTTATAAATACAATATGGTAATTGGATCACATTAGAAAGACAAAAAATTAAATATGCATTGTTTTGTCAAGCCGTTATTTTGTGTTGAACATGAACCGGTCATATGAATTAACCAACATGTTAAGCTGGTTTAAATAGGAGTAAATTATGAATATGGAAAAAACACCCTTTTGAATTTGCTAGATCTTCTGTGCATCTGAATAATTGTATCTGCATCTGTTCTAGTCAATTCCAGATTAAACGACCGCAAACATCAAAGCGGAATGAAAACAAAAACAGTTTTAAAAGGCATGGGGAAGTGAGATGCTGCAGGAATCATAAACAAATTCTCAGAGATATGCATTACATATACACAGAAAAAAACTATATAAAATTAAAATATGATTTTACATATTTATTGAATGGTTAAGAAAATGTTAAATGAAGATGAAATCTAAACTTGTAATATTAATTCGATATGGTAGGCTGAAATGAAAATACCTATATATTGGTAACAAATAGGCAGGGTCAATAAACACAGCCGCAAAATAAATTAAAACGATCGAAAAAAACTTTTAAATTGTTTAATTTTTAATATTTGTATGTAAATTTCTATATATTGCATATCATCATATCATATCAATCATATTATTTAAAATTTTGTTCGGTGTATTGCGGGACTACGTGAGTGGGATGCACTTCAAAAGCCGCTCATATGAATGTAGTATAATTTTCTATGTCTGCTGATGAACTCATTCTAGTTAGAATTTAAAAACAAACCATTCCAATTGGACTCGGCGTCTGCGCTGACTCCTTGGGACGTCACAGCCAGCAGCAACAAAAATAATGCGCTTTGTTGTTGCATTTTGATAAAAGATGCTGGAACTTATCGTACTCTCTCACTCACTCACACAGGCAAGCACTCGCGAACGGTGGGTGAAATTTTCTATAGGACCTTATGTTATACTAGTTGCATTTCTTTTGTTTGAAAAAGTATTCGGAAAACAAAACACTTTCGGCACCTCGAGAAAACGTCCCGCCCTCAAGAAAATCAGAAACGCGAATAACAAATGTGTGACCGCTATTCAGCTGTTAGAAAATATCAAGTGTTGGAGAAATACCCTAAAAAATCCACAAGACTTTGTGGACCAGCTGATGGAGAATATGGGCCTTACCCACTTTTCACACATAACTTTTTTTTTATTTATTGTTACATAGGAGGGTTTATCTACGAAATGTACTTGTATAAACTATTTTTTAGGTTTTTTCTAAAAACAATTTCGAAAACAACATAATACTTGAATTGAAAAAAAATGAATAACATGTTATTCATTTCTTAATAATATCTCAAAGGTCATTTAGAAAAACTTAACGGCCAAAATATAATATATTTAAAAACAAATATTTTTAATCAAAATGTGTTTTTCGTATAAATTCGACTAAAACGTCCATAATATCCCACAGTTTTTTTTTGTTTATCTTAAAAGTAACAAAAATATATTATTAAATAAAGAAAGTCTCCGAGTACAACACGAAATATATAACTCGAATTTTCCCAACTCCAAGAATTTGTTAATCAAAATGGTTTTATTGACAACAAAGGGTATAAATACAGGTAAAAAATTCTTTAACTCAAATGTTGTTGGTAGCAGATGATGATGATTTGTGACTTTAAAGGGTCCGATCAATCTTGTAATACCCTTTACAACGGCTTACTTACAATGAGAATCGCTTCGGCGCACAACTTTAAATTTATTTAGGAAAATATTCAGCGCGTTGCGACTTAAATGTGGGTGTTACATAGGTGGATGCACATAATGCGGTATGTGGTGTGTATTTACATTTAACTGGGCGACAAAGGGAAACAATATCGCGTGTCCGTTCGGTCAGCTCGCTTGCCATCGCACCAGAAATTGAGCATATATATTTTGTATGTATATTGTCTCATTGAACAGGTCGTATCAAAAATAAATGGCAGAACCCAAAACGAACTCAAACCCATAAAAATCTCCTTCTTCATCCCAGAGAGGTGGTATCAGTTCCGATGACAGACTTGGACTTGGAGTTTAGACTTCGCGATAGAATGCACTTTCTACAGCATGCCGAAACCCTTCGAGTAGTTAATGGCCTTCATCAGGCGCTCCTCCAACTTCTCGCGATTGCTATACTCCGGCAGGAGCAGTACGTTGAAGCAGGTGTGCGAGGTAGGCAGCCGGTCGCTATCAGGACCGTGTCGTGTGATTAGCAGCCTCAGGCACTTCAGCCCGCCTACCGGAACACGCGCCGATCCTGTGGTAAACTCAAGAAGCTTGCGTTTCGACTCGTTGGGCATGGCATGCACGATGCTCCAGAAATCCTGAATAATCTGCGTCTCGTCTGTGTAGCCGCCCTCGTACTCCGTCGAGAGCTCCAGTTCCACGAAGTCGAACTCCTGAAAATGAATTACAAATTTATCAATTTAGAGCCTTGTGAATATTGATAACAATATATAGCTACTTACGCGACTGCCGCAGACTAGCATCTCGATCTCTTCAGGCCGGAAAAGAAGCTTCAGTGGCGACTCATCCGTGACCATTTCGAAGCCCTTGCGGAAGGCATTAAACTGCTGCTGGATGTTCGTGTTCAGCAGGAAGTCACTATACAAGTTCACGAACAGCAGCTTGTTGTGCTGTCCCACCAACACCTCCTTTCCATTTGGCACCAGCTCGTGCTCCACCATCTCCCCAAACACGTTGCTATAGCTAATCTTGAAGGTCTGGTCGAATACCTCTTCCATATCCTGACCTTGGTAATCCAGCATGGACTTCAGACTCTTGTACAGCGTCGGACTCCAGTCGTTGAGGTCCGCAAAGGTTCCGCAATAGCCCATTAGCTTGCGGTAGACTACCATGGGAAAGTTTACGGCCAGGATCACGTTGTTATAAATCGCCAGCCCTATAATTATCCCTATTAGAGTAAATTGAGCTCCGTTCTCGAAGGGTGTGGCATTGAACCTGAAAATAAGGAAAATGATAAATGATTTGCATTGTTTTTATAGAAAATAAAGAAATTTAGTACCACATATTGTTGGTTTCCTCCTGCTGTATAAACATCCCAAAAGCTGGGTTGAATATCTCCTCCACGATTAGCTGAAAGAACTCTTTGGATACGCCTCCTTCATCGATGCCCTGCTCGCCGACAAACTCCACCACTAGCTGCTTCTTGAGATCCTTCGGATTGCTGATGGCCACCATTTCCAGCTGGGCAAATATACGTAAATTATAAGCATGACTATAAGGACTAAGATCAAATAATAAGAATACGCACCCCGATGAGCGCATCGTTTATGAGCTGGTCTCTGCGCACCGTCAGCTTAAGATCAGGCCGCGGAGTGCCATCCGGACCTTCCTGGCCGAAATTATTGAGAATCGAGTAGAGCGATGTGTAGCGCTCACTGTACATCCTCATCCGGCTGTCGTAGTACAAGGCATCTACCTTTGTCGCTGGCGTGAGGATAAAGCCGTACAGCATGAACGAAAAATAGTTTGTGTGGCCAGATCCTTTTTCGCTCTCCAGCGCCTTGTAGGAGAGGTAGTCGTGGTGCATCTGAATATTTTCGCTGAGCGCCTCGTTGTAGAACTCCTCCAGAGGCACCAGTGGTTTCCGGCAATCGATAGCCGACACCTTTAGTGCCTTCTCTAACTGGTCCTCGGCGAACTTGGGCATGTGCGGGTGCAGCACTGAACTGTAGTCGAACAAGTCGTCCTCCACTGTCGCACTGCCAGATGCGGAGGTGGCCGCCGCTTCCGTTCGATCTTCCAGCGGCACCCGGCAGGAGGGTCTTTCCAGCTCGCTAGCCAAAATGTTTGCATAAAAGACAATCTGGTGGAAGATAAGAGCCGATGAGTTGTCTTAATTTGAAACCATATTGCAGCTTTAATCTGACTATTACCTTTAATACTTTGGTGGCGCTGATAATGGACCCATTCTCACGCATCGACTCCTCGTCTTGGAGCACCTGCACTGTGATCTGCTGCTGGAAGGCGGCCACCAGAGCCTGAAGCTGATCCGAGCAATGGGCCGCCCAGATCCTGGTCAGACGCGCCTGTGCCTGCACTGGCATGGCTGCCGCCGCTTGACACAGCTTTGGCAGCACCCTGTCCAGATAGTCCATGTCTACCACAGTGTTGTCAGCTTTGAAAAATTAAAAAAATTTAAAATTAAAGAACTTTAAAAGTGTAACTTTCTAAACTTACTGTTGGTGGCCAAGTCAAAGCAAATGACCAGACAGTGAATGACCTTCTCCCAGTCGGGTCGCATGTATTGCACCCATTCCGCCAGTTGGATGACGCTGCTAATCAGACTGTCATTGATGGCTCGCGTTCGAGAGCCGAAAAACAGGCGCTGTACGCGGCGTAATCCAGGGAGATCAACCTGCGTGTCGCTGCTTTCCGACGGATCCTCCTCCGCCTTTGCCTCTGTGGGTTGAGCCATGGGCACGTCCTCGTCTTCTTCCTCGGGTTCCGCTTCTGTTTCGACTTCTGCGCCTGCAGAAGCACTTGCTGCTACCTCTTCCGTTTCCGCCTGTTCTTCCACTTGCTGTGTACTGTCCTCGTCTTTGTCGTGCTCTCCTTCTAGAGTTCGTAGCTGCTCTTTGTTTAAAGCCTCCGGTGGATTGGCCAGCAGCTCCTGGAGACTACTAGATGCTGCTGGTTCTGCGCTGCGTATAAAGCTCTTGCTCAGTCTATCCACGCTTGAGAAAACATCGCCGATAGCATGGCAAATCCTGTCGTAACATCTCGCCGTTACACATTGTTCGTAAAGGGCCATTAGGCTGTTAGCATCCAGGCTCTGGACTGTCGGCAGCGTGGGTGTACAAGGTTCCGAGTCGCCTGAAGAGGGTTCAACGGCTCCAAGATCTAAATGTGGCACGCTCTGGACAGGATCTAAACTGGAAACCGCCACTACAACGGCAGCTGGAGTACTCTGAGACTGTCTGCTGGTTGTGGTCGTGGTGCTGGCGGAGGTGATGGTGCTCGTTGAGCTGCCGCTACTGCTGCTACTACTGTCATTCGGCGACAGCATGTCCACATCCTGGGGACTAAGCGGGGGTTTAGTGGATGTTTCAAAGTGTAAAGGGTTATACCAAGGGGGTCAAATAACAAGATATTTGGCTATTTATATACTTGACCAAACAGTTAGACTTTCAGGCGTTAAATTCTGTCTTCTTTCAAGAATTCATATGCAATTTTAGCTTCAACTACAAATTAGTGAATATGCTTTCGTTACTAATTTCACAAATCTTAAGACCAAATAATCTGAAGTAATCCTTAAGTACTCCACATAAGTTAACCTAGCGAATACTACAAATCAGTGACAAACTTTTAATACTCCTATTATATAAGGTAAAATTAAGGTCCGAGATTTGGTGAATGTATTGTAATATTTCTCTTCAACTAAAAAGTCCTATTAGTTAGTATAAATTTGTGGATCTTTTTAAAGAAATCCTATGAAATAAAAGCTGGAAAATTCCGTCTTGGCACAACCCAAATTTTAGGAAAAGATTCCCACCTGCTGGCCGCCGAGGTGGATACCTCGCAGAGCTGTGCATCCTGGGAGAATAGCTGCAGTGCCCTGGCGGCTACCTCGTTGGGCGTCATGGGCGCCACCTTTCCGCTGGACGCACAATTTGCATTGGTGCAATGGGCATTCCCGCAGCCAGATTGTAGTTGGTAGAAGTACCTTTGGATCAAGCTGCGCACCGCCGAACGCTTCATTTCGGGCGTGGCCCGACCGCCCGCCGTTCCAGCTGCAGATCCTGATGCACTGGAGGTCAGAAATACGGATTTAGTTCGTTGTGCTTTAAATAAAATAAGCTATTCACCTGGAAACACTCGGCAGATGCTGCTCCTCTTGGCCGCCGCCTCCGCTCATCTTCGTTGAAATCTGCGCACTTCACGCCCCCACCGCCGCCGACTATTTCTTTGTTTGACAAAGATATTGTGCCTCACGCGCAAAAAAAAAAGGGTGCAAAAAAATCGATGTTGATGTCCCTTTTTTTGTGTCGCTGTGACCTTAA